CCTGAATGCTACACCTGCTACACACACTCCCACCATTCTGGCCCCTGGTGATTCCATTCCCACCTCGACCTCTCCCTGAACACCCCCAGAATAAGAGTTTGTCCAGCCTCCTCCGATCCGGAGGCACCACGAACTCGGACTGGACTCGGACAAACACAACAGCCCCTCTTGGTCTCCCACAACCTGGGGGAACGAGGGCCCAACGGCGCTCCGATCCGCGTCATCTCTGACCTTTACAGAACAGGAAATTGCTACTTACTTGACCTTCAGACTTGCCAGCATGGTCTTGTCGATCCTGCCAAGAGAAAAGCAAGGGCTCCAGTCAGTGCTGAGGCTGATGACTCCCACAGAGCATCTGCTCGGGAGGAGTCCCCGGGGCAGCCCAAACCACCAGACAGCAGGGCTCTGTCGGGCACTGGCTAAAGGGGCCCGTTCTCCGCTAGCAGAGGAGTGCTGGGAGGGCTGGGGCCATATACCACCCTATAACGTATTATTATTCTCCCCAGTTCAGAGATGAGGAAACTGAGTCTCAGAAAGGTAAAATCACTGGCCCAGTCTGAATTCAGGTATCTCACATCAGGCCCAGGGATCACAAGCACTTTGTGTGCAGCCTCTCCCTTTATGACGGCTACCCTCACAGGAGGACCCGGCAACCCAGCTTCGTGGGTCAGCACGGATGTCAACACGGACGTCGGGTGGACATCCATATTTCCCAGGCGTCTGCTCTGGGAAGATGCAAGCATGCCCAGCACCAGGGATCCTCTCGCCCCAGGAGCTACCAGTCCATCCAGGGAGGCAGACCGCGCGCCTGGGGCAGACCCTGGTGGGTTGCATCGGGCACAGGGGTTCAGAGCGGGGAAGATCACGTTTGCTACAGACTGCCCTCACAGCCAGCTCCTCCACCCCCAGCCTGCGCCCGCCCTCACTGGAAGGGGAGGCAGCGACACTGAGTTTCTATTTTTACCCCCTGCATATGCCAGCCCTTATGGCTGGCAAGGAGAGGCCCCTCCTCCCTCTCCAGAGGCAGAAAGGTGGGCAGTGTTCCCACCGTCAGTATCTCCTCTTGTGGGAGGGTCATGACCTCCGCTGCCACCAGCACCGCCACCAGCACCAATGCTGCCTGTCACATCACGACTCGTGTCACCATCACTGTCCGTGTCGCCACATGTCACCAACGCTCTCATCAGTGTTGCCATCACTATCAGCTTCACTAACATTGCCACTGGCTCCAGGATGCTGGAAACCCTGGAGGCTCTTCCCAGCATCCCAGCATCCTTGTCTGGCCCGCTCAGCTCTGCCTCAGGCTTCCCACACTCACAGCTCCAGGGAAGAGGAGAGGACACGGAGCTGGGTCAGCTCACAAGTCACCCTGAGGCCTGGAGCTAGGGGCGGGTTCCTTTCACTCTGAGTAAACTCCCAGCGCCTTCTGACCTCAGCTCCAACGGCAAAGCAAGCAGCACCCCGAGGGGCCTGGCCCACGTCTCTCCCGGTTTCTTCCCCATACGTCCTCCTGAGTCCCTTCCTTAGGGCTTCCACTACTGGTCCCTGAGGGTCTCTCCCTGGAATCCCCACCCGCTCGGGGATGCAGACCCTCCTCTTCCCCCATTCGATGCACAGGCCCCCAGATCTGAGCGGGACTCAGAGCCCCGCACTCCGCTGTAACGCGTGCAACCCAGAGTCTCCCGATGGCCCCTCACAGGAGGGACTCAGGTTGTACGTTTTCTCAAGGAATCTCTTAATTCTTTTTATTTTTTATTTTTTTAGTAGAGACAGGGTTTCACCATGTTAGCCAGGATGGTCTCGATCTCCTGACCTCGTGATCCGCCCGTCTCAGCCTCCCAAAGTGCTGGGATTACAGGCTTGAGCCACCGCGCCCGGCTGGAATCTCTTAATTCTTACAACAGCACCTGTGCTGTGGGTAAGGCAGAAATCCCCCACTGACACATGGGGAAACTGAGACCCAGAGAGAGGAAGTGTCCCATTCGAGTTCTTCAGTGGTCGAGGCGGAGTCAGTGCTGGAACCGGGGCTCCTGGTGCGTGCACCTCTGACCGCTGTGGGGTCAGCCCTGCCCACCGCAGGCCTACAGGCACCGTGGTCACAGGAGCCCCGGTCCGAACCACGCCTACACAGCGGCCAGCCCACCGGGGTTCCCACACCAGGGTGTGCACTCAGCAGGGCGGGGATGTGGTTTTGGAGAGGCTGAGATGGGAGATGAAGAGCGACTGCGAGGCTGGGCCTTTCCCTTTCAGGAAGCCAAAGCTCCTGGGCGCTCCTCCCTCTCCCATCCCATCCCACCCTCCCTCATCACCTTGTCTGCCCCTGGTGCCGGAGGTTATCCACCCTGCATCCAGTGGAGCTTGGAAAACACCAGCCCCAGAGATTCTGTTCACCGTCTGGAGGGACCAGGGCTCCAGGAATCTGTGACATCCCCTCCCAGCTGACAGCCATCCCAGATGAGGAGGCCCAAACCCCAGTCTCGTCCCCTTTCTTGCTGCCCTAACCTTCCAAGCCCGGAAGGCCCCGCCATCCCCTCAACCTCAAGGGGCCCCAAGCAGACACCTGCTGTGTGCGAAAGACCTCAATGAGCCCACAAGCATCCACTGAGCCTGTGTGACGTGCCAGGCCTCTGCGTGAACGCGATGGGGCAGGGCCTGCCCTCCTGGAACCCACAGCCCAGCGGACACTGAGTCAGCACAGGGGGCCTCTGGGACATCCTAGGGCCCTTTCTCCACCTTTGGCTCTGCCTCGAAGGCAGCCCTGGGCAGCCATGCTCCTGTCTTCCCCCTCACCTGCCCAGATTCAAGCCTCAGGCCCGGCTTTGCCTTGTGCTCTGAAGCTGTGGGTCTCAGCACAGAGGGCGTCCTATGGAACGAAGCTAGGCTGAGACCGGGACCTGTGCACAGGGAGCTTTCTGACGACCAGCCTCCCATCTGCCCCACACCTCCCAGACAAAGGCGGGCCTTGGAGGGCACAATCTCATTGCTGGGCCCTGCCCTGCAAGGCTCACAGCCAAGACACACACACCCCTCCCAACCATAAGCCAAGTCCTCTGCTGCCTCCCAGACACTGGCACCTACCCTCAGGGCGGCAGCTCCTGACCCAGGCGTCAGGGAGGGCCCGAGAGCAGACACAGGCGATGCCGTGCCATCTGCTCGTCTGCACCATCGCATCTGCCAAACATGGAGCGCCCACGGTCCCTCCCTGCCAGAGGATGGATGGCAAAGTGCTTTTGAAGAGGAGGAAGAGGGAAATAAGCCACACACGGAAGCGAAAAATTACCGAGGAACACAGCCCCTCTCCCCCTCGCCCTTCGTGCCACCCCCATTAGTCCACCATTTTCCACACGGGGACACCCCCTGGCCACCTCCCTCAGGGGCCTCTCCCAGTCTGACAACGCCCCCAACCCAGGAGCTGAAAGGAACCCGATCATGAAAACCACCAGACTCTGTTCCCCAGCTGCGGGGAAGCTGCCAGCACTGGGAACGACAGACAAGCCTTTGGCCTTCGTGTGCCTACCTTCTGCCTCCCGGGGAGGAGAGAGCACATCCCTCATCCCAGACAGAAGCTCAGAGGCAAGAGGGGCCAGAGGACCAGGCAGGCAGCTGGGGAGAGACGAAGCTGCTCAGGCTAGGACATGCCTAGGGTGGGCTGCCTGGGGTGCAAGTGGGAGACCTCCTCTCACAACCCACCCCCAAGAGAGCAGGCAGCCCAGAGGTCCAGCAGGTCACAGATCCCCCTGCCACAAGGCCACACTGACAGCACAGACAGGAACGTCACACACACAGACACACAGATACAGAAGGCCAGAGGTGCAGACAGGCAGCTGCTCACACGCATAGGCACACACCTCACACACTGTCACACGGACTGGCAGTCACAGCTACACACACACGCCTGCACACACAGGCTCAAACGCACACACACACACTTACGCATAATCCCAGACATACACACACATACACGGGAACCTGCGGACACACAAACGCACACATTCAACTGCAGTCACACACACTCATGCTATCCACCTCCCCACGGGCAGCTGGCGCAGACCTCCAGGGTTCGCCAGTAGACTGTGCCCAGGGACAGTGCGGAAGGCTTACGGTCTCTCATGTCCCCACCAGGATCCTGCATCTCGACCTGCCAGGGCGTCAGCAGACCCAGCTCTCAGGCACAGCCCGAGCCCCTCTGCTCCCACGGCCCCCACTGCACTTAACAAGACTTCACTTCTAAGTTCTCTCCCATCGTTCCACCACCCTCCCACCTGTCACCCACCATCCGAAGCCCCCAAAGGAGACACTGCGCTTCCGGCCAAACATGGCTGTGGCTGCAGACCCCGGGTTCCCAACGATGTCCCAGCGATGTCCCTGGGGCTGTCCGCAAGAGGGCCGTGGTACAGCGGGGTCAGTGCCGGCGCAGGGCGGGGAGCCCAGCGTGGCACCTCCCTCTTCGCCTGCCCCCAACCCGAGCTTCCTGTGGGTGAGGCTGCAGGGCTGGGAGGTCTGTCCTGCATTCCAGAAGGCATCAAGATAGGCCGAAAAGGTTGTGGAGGGCAGCTTCCCCACACCCAGAGGAACCCACAGCTCCGGAAGGGGCTCGGCTGGCAGATTGCTCCACAGCCCCAGTTAGCAGCCCGGCCCACACAGCCCCAGCTTCCTGGAACCCAAAGGCACCCCAGGGATTCCCACAGCCACGCCTAGGAGAGACAGAAATATTCAGCGGGAAGCCTCAGGGGCACCTGAGCACTGAGGCCCTTCACACCCACTCCCGAGGGCTGCCTGAGACAGGAACCTTTGCCGGTCTGCTCCACTATGGCTTGGCACATGCCAGGAACCAGCCACACACGTCATTCCACTAGCACACATGGATGTAAGTATACATGCACACGCGTGGGCACAGGGGCACATGGGATGCACACATGGACACACACACACTCAGGATACCCAGGTACACACATATACACGCACGCAGACATACATATCATTAGACACCTGCACGCACACTTAGGATACCCAGGTACACACATATACACGCACACAGACATACATATCATTAGACACCTG